GGACGTAGCAAATTCAAAATAAAATAGCCAAGTTCAGAACTGGACGTAGCATATTCAAAATTAAATAACCATGATCAGAATGGGGCGTAGCAAATTCAAAATGAAATAAGCAAGTTTGATATGGAACGAAGCAAATTCATAATTAAATAAGCAAGTTTGAATTCGGACTAAGCAGATTCATTATGGAAAAATCTTTCGAACTTACCTACCGGTTTTAATAAATAAATATCAACTGGGCGGTAAAGGTAAAATCAAATACTTAAAAGTCGGAGCGCAGCGTTGCGTAGATTTTACTATCAATTCCTTACAAGAGGCTATTCTTGAATGGATAAATTTGTGACAAACTTAGAGTTTCTAGCACTTTCATTGGTAAGACAATCAAGGAGAAGAGAAGAACGAAAGAGATGGATAGGTTCTATATAGTGTTAAAAAGAGAGAATAAGAGAGACTTATTGAAAATGAAAGGATTTGGGGAAAATCAGGGCAAATCTCGAAAGACCTAAAAACCAACAAGCAAATACTGAATTCATATATCAAGACAGAGTTTGAAAAAAGATAGTTATCGTGATATTTATCGCTGAAAATTGCATCCAAGTTATCGTGATTGTTATCACTGAAAATTGCATGTAAAAAATATACACCTTTCATGAATTATCTTGATTTAATGATTGCTCCTAGAAGATAAACATTTCAATAGTGAAGTCTAGTTGAACATTATTATCTTATCACGAAAATATTTCATTTTAAAATGTTTTTTTAGCAAAATAATTGCTCAGTCGCAAATTGAATTTGCCTAACCCATTTTGATCTTGCTAAGTCCCAAATGAAATTTGCTTATTCCATTTTGAATTTGACTATACCATTTTGAATTTGCTATGTCCCAATTTAAATTTGACTATTCCATTTTGAATTTGCTACATCCTCTTTGGAATTTGACTATCCCATTTGGAATTTGCTACGTCTCATTCTGAACTTTGCTATTTTATTATGAACTTGCTTAGTCCCAAAATGACTTTAATTAGTCCCAAATTGAACTTGAAATGGTACATGCGTAAGGAGGAATTTTCACTCAAATATTTTTTCCCAAGAACCGATACTTTGTCGAAAAAACGCCCACGTATTTACAGGAATGGTTATTCTTCATCTCCTCAAGTCAAGAATAACCATAATTACCTCCCACCTCCCCCGACATTCATTTTTGTAATAATTTCACTCCAAGCAAGGCAATAAAGTCGCTAAAACCAAATAAAATTAATATGCTATCCATATATACTTTTGAATAGAAAAGTACTTGTCGAGAACACTACAGCGCCTTGAAAATAAAAAAACAACTTCCTGAGGACCTCTACATAAGCAGCAAACAACTAACACTAAATAAGGTTAATTATGGGTATAGTAACAATGTTTTAAAATGTTTGTAACAGCAAAGATTTAAAAATGCTAAAAATATTTTTGAACAAAATGGAAGAGATTACAATCATGCAGATTAATTTACCATTAAATGAAAAACATGAAAGACGTTATAGTTTCAACAGTTAAATTTAAAACAATTCATGCGTGTTTACAAGAAAATCAGATCTCTCAGTTACGTTAATTTTTTTACCTCTGAAGATGATATGGGAAGAGTTTGAATGCACTTTCGATAATAAAAATGAAAAAGAAAAAAAAAAAAAAAAATATATATATATATATATATATATATATATATATATATATATATATATATATATATATTGTCTATAGTGATCAATATTAAAAATACTTAATATTAAAAATAAAGCGCGAATAATATTATACGAAAAGATTATTAACTTATAAACATCAATTTTTTCCCGATTGTGAAGTTTTTTTTAAATTTTAATTTGAAAAAATTTGGAAATATCGTATAAAACTAGAACCCCTAAAGACTGGAAATTTTTACCAAGAAACTTCTAAGGTGGGAAAAAATTGATATTTAAAAGTTAAGTAATCTATATTCATTATATATATATATATATATATATATATATATATATATATATATATATATATATATATGATAACATTTCATATAGAGTGTATCTGTAACAGGACAATATCCATAAAGACAAGCGGAAAACTTCTCTTACCCGATGCGTTTCCTCTTTTCAGGAAATTTTATTTGCCTTCATAAAATCCTCAGAGAATGAAACACTTCGGCTAAGGATGAATTTTTTTCGTTTTTTTTTTATATATGATGTTTTTCCGTTTCTCTTTATATATATATATATATATATATATATATATATATATATATATATATATATATATATATATAACAAATATATGGATATAGATCCGACAGTATGAAGAAAAATATACGGAAAAACAACAAATATGAAAAGATGATGACATAGTGTTAAGACTATTTAAAACAGATTTTTTTGTGAATAGTCTTACGTCTATCGTCTTTTCATGTTGAATTTAATATAGTCTAATGTTAATTATGTTTTATGAATATGTACTGAAGATGGTCTATTAGGCCGAAACGTCTGACGTTGACATTATATTAACATTGAAACAGCATAATTGCATATTAGGATTTTTGTTTGTTTTTCCGTATATTTTTCTTCATATATATATATATATATATATATATATATATATATATATGTATACAATATTGTTATTTTTAATTTATTTTGTTTAAACATTATTTTTGATGGATACTCATATTCGAGTAGATGCTCTGTTTTTTTTAGTTTTTTTTTATTAAACATTATTTTTTTTAGCCAACTACATCTACCGGCTTGATAACTTGTAAAAATATATGTATATTTAATTGGACAAATGAATCAAAAGCTTATACGATCTGAAATATATGCCTATATATATATGGGTGTGTATATGCGTTTTTATGCGTGCGTGCGCGTCTGTGTGTTTGTGCATCCGTGTGTGTGTGTGTCGCTTTTCTTATGGCCTAACCATCATGTTATAACGAATTTTGTTCTCGATTTATGCAGGTGAACCAAAAAGAAAAGTGAACAAATATTTTTTTTTTGTCTTTCATTCCAATCGTAATTCTTTCCTTTCACTTTCTTATCACTAATCTTTCTCTCAGTTGTAATCTATTTTTGTACACAAAGTTGGCAGTTGATAAATTTGATAAATTTTCAAAAATCAAACCAAAAAATAAATTAAAAAGATTCTTTTAAATCTGACAAAATATAAATCGAGAAGGAAACGAATTTTGAAGATTTTAAAAGCGCCAATCTCTTATCATGGATTGGTTGAACGTTCGTTTTAGGCGTAGCAGTTTGACCATCAATTCGATTTCCAATGTTGGCTTCTTTATTCATAAACTCCTTCATCTATTCAATCCTTTTCTTTAAGCTTATATATGTGTACCGGTGCATACGTATCTGAGTAAAAGACGAGATATACTCTTTGAAATAATTTTCTTTTTTAAGTTCTTGTAATTGTATCAATTCTTATTTTTAACCGTTTTTTCTTTCAGTTTTGATTCCTGTTTTCATTTTATGCAACTTTATTTCTATGCATTTCTAATGTTTTTATTATTCTTATCTTTACTTCAGTCTCAGACACATTTCCATTCTTATTCGAACCTTGATTCTTATCCTTTCTTGAAACTAATCTTATTTTTTTATTCCTGTTCATTTTTTAATCATTCTTGTTCATTTTCGTTTTACTTTTGCTCTCTTGTCCTTCTTTCGTACTCTTATTCTTTTATTCCTGTTTTTTGTTTATTATTTTAGACTGATTCTTATTCTAATCAACATTCTTATTTAACATTATTTCCCCTTAATTTCGCCTTTTTATTCACACTTCTGCATTCATATTTATTTCTTTACGTCATTTCTCATTCTTTTACCCAGTCCTTACTTTCCTCACTCCTATTACCCTTATAATTCATCTCGTTCGTTTATTTTTCTTCATTCACATTCCATTCTCTTTCTCATCCTTTAATTCTCCTATTCCAGTATTCCCTTCTTTCTCGTTCTTTTCCCCATCATTAATCTTCTCTTTCCTATTCGCATTATAATTCTCCTCACATTACATTCTTCATCACATCCTTCATTACCCTATTCTAGCATTCTTTTATTCCATTCTTTCTTTATTCTCTTTCCATTCTTATTATCTCTACTCCTTTTTCCATATTTTTTTATACATATTCATCGGTTTTAGTTTTCCTATTTATTCATTCTTTCATACGCTCGTAACACCACTGGCTCTTGTCCGCATTCTATTCCATTCTAATATTATCTCGTTTATTTCGAAGAATGTTGCTTATTTTCTGTCTTTATTTTCTGACGTTGTGTGCTTGGAAATTGACGTATACGTATGCAAATATGCACTCACAATGATAAGCATATATATGTGGAAAGGAACAAATAAACACTCGCAAACAAAGGTGCAAAGTTCACGTATGTATGTCTTTATTCTGTTCAAGATAGAAAATTGTGATAATTCTGTCCAAAATCAAATCATATTATTGAAAAAGTAAAAAATAAAACACAAGCTATTTTGTTCAATTTTGAGAAAACAACGAAATTAATAAACATGATAAGAAAAAATACTAAAGTATGAGTAAATGAAAGAAAAAAGCAATAGAAAATAGAACTAATTTATTTACAAATTATGAAATTTCAGTATAGAAATAGGACGCCATGGCGAAGAAAGGCGAGACAAATTGATAACAGCGAGTGTTAAGTAAAATTGAGAAGAAAAGAAAGGTTTGTGAATAAGAGAGGGATTTAAAGAAGTACTATCAAAGAAAAAGTAAGCAAATATGTGAAAGGATGATTCGGTTAAGCAGAAAGAATGAATATTTTGTAATAATGAAGAATCATGTTGAAGGAAGAAAAGAAGGAAAACCAGAGAATAACAGGAACAATAGAAGGAAAGAAGGAAGAGAAAGAAAAAAGAGAGAAATAAAAATTAAGAAAAACGAACTGAAGATGAAAGAAGAAGAGACGAATGGAAAGAAATAAAGATCAAGTAGGAAAAACAGGCAAATGAAACTAGGAAGGAAGGAAGGAAGGAAGGAAGGAAGGAAGGAAGGAAGGAAGGAAGGAAGGAAGGGAGAAAGAAATGAAGAGAGGAAGAAAGGCGTGAAGGAAGGAAGGAAGGAAGGAAGGAAGGAAGGAAGGAAGGAAGGAAGGAAGGAAGGAAGGAGAAAGAAATGAAGGGAGGAAGAAAGGCGTGAAGGAAGGAAGGAAGAAATGAAGGAGGAAGAAAGGCGTGAAGGAAGGAAGGAAGGAAGGAAGGAAGGAAGGAAGGAAGGAAGGAAGGAAGGAAGGGAGAAAGAAATGAAGGGAGGAAGAAAGGCGTGAAGGAAGGAAGGAAGGAGGGGGAGGGAGGAGGAAGGAAGGAAGGAAGGAAGGAAGGAAGGAAGGAAGGAAGGAGGAGGGAGGAAGGAAGGAGGAGGGAGGGAAGGAGGAAGGAAGGAAGGAAGGAAGGAAGGAAGGAAGGAAGGAAGGAAGGGAGGAAGGAAGGAAAGAAGGAAGGAAGGAAGGAAGGAAAGAAGGAAGGAAGGAAGGAAAGAAAGAAGGAAGGAAAATGACGGTACGAAAGAAGAAAATGTATAAAGAGAATTTAGAAAGAAAAATCATGACCAAGGAAGGAAAAACAGACAAATGAAGCTCAGGGAAGAAAATAAGTAAACGAGGGAATAAATGAATAAGAAAATAATTGAATGAAAGAAGGAAGGAAGGAAGGAAGGGAGGAGAAAAGTGAAGATGAAAGAAATAAACGAAACTGAATATCAGGGAAGGATAGATAAATTGAAGGAAAAGAAAGTAAAATGATGATCTATGAACGAAAAACGTAAAAGAGTGGCACGAATGAATGAATAGAAGAATAAATAAAGGAAAGAATAAAAGGATATGATGGAAGGAATGGTGGAATGAAGGAAGAAAGGAAAATGATAATCAATGAAGAAAAACAGAGAAATAAAGTTAAAATAAGAAAGAATGGCAGGAAGCGAATGAAGTCAAAAATGAAAGGCAAATGAAGATCAAAGAAAGAAAGAAAGAAAGAAAGAAAGAAAGAAAGAAGGGAATAGAATTAAGGATCAAAGAAGAAATAAATGATGAAAATAAGGAATAAAATAATGATCATGGAAGAATGGAAATCGAAGAAGAAAGGAATGAATTAGGTTAGTATATGAAAGAAGGAAAGAAAAAAAGAAAGAAAGAAACTAAATTAAACAAAATTGAAGATCAAGGAAGAAATGAATGACGAAAAGAAAAAATAAAGTAATGATCATGGAAGAATAAAAATCAGAGAAGAAATGAATAAATTGATTAGTAAAAGATAGATAGATAGATAGATAGATAGATAGATAGATAGATAGATAGATAGATAGATCAAGGAAGAGATGAATGAGGAAAAGAATAAAGTCATGATCATGGAAGAATGAAAATCAGAGAAGGCATGAATGATTTGTATGAGTGAAAGAAAGAAAAAAAGAAAGAAAATAAAGATGAAGGAAAAAAATGAATGATGAAAAGAAGAAATAAAGTAATGACCATGAATGAATGGAAATCAGAGAAAAAAGGAATGAATTGTGTTAATGAATGAAAGAAGGAAAAAATGAAAAGAAGAAAAAATAATTGAAAATCAAAGAAATTGATGTAAAGAATAACAAAAGGAAAATGATTATCAGGAAAGAAAAAAAAACAGGAGAGAAGGGAATGAAAGAAGGAAAACGAATAATTGGTGTATGAAAACAAAAATCAAACTATTTTTACGGTTTATCGATCTTTTGTGGGTTATTTAAAATAAAGACATCTTTGGGATTTACAATAATAATTCTTTTTTTGAAAGTGAAAATTGAATTAACGAGGTTTTTTGAATAACAACATTTTTTCCCAGATGCAAATTCAACTATTTAACCCTTAGCTGGGGGAGAGAATTAAATCATACATTTCCCAAAGGTAATTGCGCATAAGTGAATGCGTGGAGGTAACAAATACGTGAGTAATCGATAGCGGTTAGGAATGAGAGCCGCAATCGAATCCCAGCCATGTTTGTTACAGTCACTTATGCGCAAATACCTCTGGGAAAGGCATGAATTCACCTGTTCTCATCCTACCCCGCTATGGATAAATAGCATGACAGGCTCTATAACCTTGACTAGAGATTAGTGTAGGCGAAGGAAACCTCCGAATTCAAAACCAGCTTGGAGAGGGTTGGGATCTGTCAGGCTGGCTTTCCCAAGACACACTAGTATTGCTACGGCTGCAGTACATGTGGTGGCCCCCTAAGACTCCAGTGAGTTACGGGACTTGTGCTCGTGATCGATTGTGACGAACCCGGCTAGAATTCGAAATTGGCTCTCCGACTTCTTACTCGGAGTTGATATTCATTACCCGCGAGACAATAAGAAAAGAGAAAGGAGTCAGAAAAAGTGGAAGCTAAATCGAAATTTTTAAAATGAAAACAAATAAAAGAGAAACACCCGAAAAGCATGGGAAAAACAGAATCAGAAACTGAAAACTTCAATATCTCGATCTGATT